GCACAAATCATAACAAACTTTATAATGAAACCAAATCTCAGTCCTTGCAAAATAGAAGGTATATTGCCAGAAGATAACTTTTTTCTATAAGATGTACAACAACCAATTGCCAAAATATCTTTGTGACCTGATCCCAAACTCCGTCTACGGAACTACAAACTACAGCTTGAGGAATAACTCTGAAATACAAGGAATTTACAGTCCCACTGCCTCTTTATGCTAAATCCTTTTTACCTGCCACAATAAATTTATGGAATGCCCTACCAAATTCCAAAGCGTCATGTAGTCTCACAGAATTTAAAAACCTAATTACAAAAACTGAACATAAGATTTACTTTGACCTTAATTATGGCACTCGTTTTTGCCAAATCGTTCACTGACGCCTCAGGCTCGGATGTAGCGACCTAAACGCCGATAAGTATAACAGACATTTAATAGACAGCCCATGTTGTTCTTGTAGATATCAGAGTGAAAACGCCCGTCACTATTTCCTCACTTGCCGTAACTATACTCGGATAAGACTTAATATGTATTTTTACACTACCGGTTATAACCTGGATACCATTCTTAAGGGAAACAAAGAACTTACTCCCTGTGTAAACCAGAAAAATGTTGAATCCGTCCACGATTATATAACCAAGACACAACGCTTCAAATTTTCTCAGGAAAATAATTAAATTTACTCAACAACCTTCTCATGATTGATTTATATTTCTACAATGGCTTGTTAGACACACACAACTGTAACTCTCTAACTTATGACTACTTAGAGAATAGTTGTATTTCATGTAATCTGTATATATTTAGATATATTTAAAACTATTATATTTATGCAATGGTCAATATCGATGACGTCACATCCTCCATTTCATGTTGTATTATACGTTGCATGGGAGCGGTGTTAACATAAGCAGTAATGCTTGTTCACCAATCCCAATTCATCTTCATGAATAAAAATATGTTTAAATCATATACGGTAAAACACAGGAAATGAGATGATGTGGTATTGCGAAGCTTTCACGATGCATTAACAGGGAAATGCACCTTCGGTTCTGACACTGACGTCAATCCAAACGACCGCGACACCAACGAGCAATGTATATGTGAGTTATTTAACCAGGTGACCCGTGATTTATGAGAGTGAATACGATTTTGTGTGATGACGTATTCATTGACGACGAACTAACGAAGAAAGATGCCCAGCCGGTGCAGAATGTGCTGTGTTTGAGTCGGTGGTGAGGGTGAGATATGTTCACGCATGGACAAACAGACGGGTATAGGTCTAACAGCAGTCGCAACCCGTGAAGAACGGGGATATAATTGTACTATACACCAACACAGTCTCACCAGGTATAAATCACCATAACAATTACACATTCCCTGTATGTGGATTTCTGAATACCAAAAGTCTCTCGACTATACAGAAATCGATCAAACTAACACACTATTTTCAAACAGAGCGAAGGCCACCATATCCCATATATACTTAGGCCATCATTCAATATTTTAAACTTGAATACCATAAATACCACCCGAGTCTCCCTTTAGTCCTTAAGTATCTCCTGACTTACCCGATTATTTCTGAATGTTTTCCGTAAATGACCGAACACTCACCGACTTCACATTGACAGGTGGTACAACCCTGAGCGTCCAGTCGGTAGCCGTTTGCGCATGTCTGTTCACAACGGAGCTCCTGGCAGCCTAACAATAGAAAGAAAAAGGACACGTTTCACAGAATCAGCTTGGAGAATAGAACCAAGAGTTTATCCAATCAGCCTGAACACAGGAGACAGGAGTGGACCAATGAAAGATGCGCTTGGCTCATATGCCTCAAGTCAATGCTCGGTGCAGAGCCTGGCTCCACACAGCGATATTCTTCCAGCTCCTATACCTTACCTAAGATTTTGTTTGTTGCGTACGTCATGTCCACCACTATTCCAGTGACTGCGACGTTTCGGTGTAAATACTAAGTTTGTTACTGCAGTTATCAAGCAAGTGATAGAAGCAAGTGATTGATACTTTGACCATAGATCTGCATAGTTGAGACATAACGGCATTCATCAATTCGGTCACACGATCGCCTCTTCCAACAAGCACTGAAAGCGAATTCTTACCCTCCTCTTCAAGGAGCGCACAGGCTTCGTTGTAACGTTGACATCGCTTTGTTGGAAAGGCATAAAGACCCTTAAGTCAGGAATTTGGGGAGTAAACCCAAAAAACTAACTTACTCAGAACTGATAAACCCGACATTACGACCAGGGTTAAACTTGGATTTATACGATTAACGGATCCTGACGATTGGGCCACCAATAAACCAACATTTATCATTAGGACAGATGTAAAGAATGAATCAGCGGATTCTGTTTTAGGAATTTAACCATAGCCTCTGGGGAAAAAAGAAACATGGTTCACCATCTGTAAATATTCAGTGAAATTGTCACGGTTTGCTCTGGTTGCATTCTGTTCCCATGTAGCGTGACATGAGACATCCTCGATAATCTCCAGGGTATACGTTCAGATAAATCTCCACTATACCCTGGATGCATCTACGGCTCTAGCCGATGATTTTATTACCTCCCTTGGCTGGCTTTTTATCCAATCAGGTGTCTACGCTGTGAAGTTGAGCGTACCAATCACAATTCACTTTCGCTTTTAAATTATCTAACTGTGAAAATGCGGTTAAACTTGGCAACACAGGGTAATAATATGTTGTTGCATGAGAAGGTACTCTGAAAGAGGTAGAAGAAGCTTTCTTTCCTTTCTAGCATATATTTGTTTAAAATGGAAGAATTTTAAGATTCGATCACATTCGTAACTACTCGTACCATTCCGACAAGCCGGATGGCGACTCGTACCCCTCTCATGGCTATGTTCACGACTGGGCCTTGTCTAAGCGCAAACGGGCACGGATATGAAAATAGTCTAGGACTATTTCCAAGGAAGGTAACTCTGAATTTCCAAACATGGCTACTCCAAGAAATCTATAATACCAAACGAAAGTCACTTTATGTAAGTTTCTTATGTCGTTAACAAATATCAGTACCAAGATAATTTTATAATCACTGAAATAATAATGAAAATCGTTAATAGCATGAAACTATTTGACTCATTTCACATTTTACTACGCGCGATGTGATTGGTTTGCCACGATTCTTGACAATAATGGCGTACTATACAGGTACGAGTCTTCTTGTAGGTCATGGATAGAGGCGAGTAGTTACGAATGAGTCGATCACACCCTGTCAAGGAATTGGTACTTACGGCAGTTGCACGTGAGGCAGCCATATTGGTCAAGGGCGTAGCCTCCTGGACAGAACTGGGCACATCGGACAGCAGGACAGGCTGACACACAGGGGGAATATCGTCAGTTATACTATTACACATGTTGGATATTATTATAAAATTAACAATGAGGTATTGGATGTTTTTACCCATGTCATTACGTACGTAGATATCATCATATATTATCAATAATACATTGGAGATAGCTTGTCGTTTTGGTTGCTTGTTGTTTAACGCCGCACTCAGCAATATTCCGGCCATATGGCTGTCCGTAAATATTCGAATCTCGACCAGACAATCCAGTGATCAGAGTGATGAGTATCAGCTACGAAATTGGGATACGATGCATGTACACATGTCAAGCAGGTCAGTGAGCCTGACCACCCGATCCCGTTAGCCGCCTCTTAAAAAGCATGCATTGCTGGAGACCAATTCTAACCCAGATCTTCACGAGTCGAGATCTCTTATTACTCGTTAAAGCGACGTAGACGGGATGTTATTGGTTATACTATGGACGGATGGAGATGGGATATCGTCGGGTTGAACATGCAAAAATAGATTGGAGATGTTATCAGCTTCAGATTAGTATCGAGAGATATCATCAGTTATCGCATGAGAAAATACATGTGAATATCATCATTTTATCACATTAAGATTGGATATCATGAGTTATGGCATCTGGAGGAACTGACGACAACTTACCACACGAGCACGTCCTGCAGCCGTAACTGTCGTAGCGGTAACCGTAATTACCACAGGACGAGCAATTCAATGTTAGACACTCTGCAACACAACCATCAGACACGTTACAAATACACTGCAACAGAAGCAGACACGTCGAAGAGACGCTGCAGCACAAACAATGGACACGTCACAGACGCTCGGCAACACAAACAATGGACACGTCACAGACGCTCTGAAATACAAACAACGGACACGTTACAGACTCTCTGCAACACAAACAACATACGCGTCGCAGACTCTCTGCAACACAGACACGTCAAAAAAACCTGCAACACAAACAACAGACACGTTACAGACGCTCTGCAACACAAACAACATACGCGTCACAGACTCTCTGTAACACAAACAACAGACACGTGCACGCCACAGGTGTACGCTCTGCAACACAAACAACAGACTCTCTGCAAGAAAATCAACAGACACTCTGCAACACAAATAGGACTGTGCTGGAATTCATGTCGACATCTCCCACACACCTGTTTATCTGCTCCCATGTGCACTCCAGCAGCCAGGATCACCTACGTACCAGTTCATGCACGTACACGTACCTAATCCATGGTCACAAGCGTACGCCATTATTCACACGTCCATACGTCTTCACTAAATCACTCAAATAATCTTCTACGTGCATATTCACTCGCGTACGCAGGTAGACACTTAATTGGCAGCCTTACATATTCACTCACTACCTAGTCTGGCATAGACTTACAAAGACAGCCTACTGCGACACATAAAGAGCTACGTACGTGGCGTGACTGCAGTGCTCGTCGTAGCACGGCAAGTACACGTCTTACAGCCGTATGTGTCCACCGCGTAGTTATTGTCAGGGCAGGCGCTGCATTTTCTCTTCGGACACGCTTAGACAACAGAAGAAAGAAAAACTGATAATGACGTGTGGAAATATTGGTAAATAATGCCAAGCCCAGATGGTATACAAGGCACAGTGTACAGGTAGATGAAGCCAGGACAGTCGAACAGGACACTGTGCAGGTAGAAGTCTATGTTACAGGTAGATGAACAGGAGTTACGATCACCTTAGACAAGACGACAGTGTACAGGTAGATGAACAGGACATTGTGCAGGTAGATAGACAAGACACAGTGTACAGGTAGACGAACAGGACATTGTGCAGGTAGATAGACAAGACACAGTGTACAGGTAGATGAACAGGACATTGTGCAGGTAGTTAGACAAGACACAGTGTACAGGTAGATGAACAGGACATTGTGCAGGTAGATAGACAAGACACAGTGTACAGGTAGACGAACAGGACATTGTGCAGGTAGATAGACAAGACACAGTGTGCAGGTAGACGAACAGGACATTGTGCAGGTAGATAGACAAGACACGGTTACAGGTAGATGAACAGGACATTGTGCAGGTAGATAGACAAGACACGGTTACAGGTAGATGAACAGGACATTGTGCAGGTAGTTAGACAAGACACGGTGTAAAGGTAGATGAACAGGACATTGTGCAGGTAGATAGACAAGACAGTGTACAGGTAGACGAACAGGACATTGTGCAGGTAGATAGACAAGACACAGTGTACAGGGAGACGAACAGGACATTGTGCAGGTAGATAGACAAGACACAGTGTACAGGTAGGTGAACAGGACATTGTGCAGGTAGATAGACAAGACACAGTGTACAGGTAGATAGACAAGACACAGTGTAAAGGTAGATGAACAGGACATTGTGCAGGTAGATAGACAAGACACAGTGTACAGGGAGACGAACAGGACATTGTGCAGGTAGATAGACAAGACACAGTGTACAGGTAGGTGAACAGGACATTGTGCAGGTAGATAGACAAGACACGGTGTAAAGGTAGACGAACAGGACACTGTGCAGGTAGATAGACAAGATACAGTGTACAGGTAGACGAACAGGACACTATGCAGGTAGATAGACAAGACACAGTGTACAGGTAGATGAACAGGACATTGTGCAGGTAGATAGACAAGACACAGTGTACAGGTAGGTGAACAGGACATTGTGCAGGTAGATAGACAAGACACGGTGTAAAGGTAGACGAACAGGACACTGTGCAGGTAGATAGACAAGACACAGTGTACAGGTAGACGAACAGGACATTGTGCAGGTAGATAGACAAGACACAGTGTACAGGTAGACGAACAGGACATTGTGCAGGTAGATAGACAAGACACAGTGTACAGGTAGGTGAACAGGACATTGTGCAGGTAGATAGACAAGACACAGTGTGCAGGTAGGTGAACAGGACATTGTGCAGGTAGATAGACAAGACACAGTGTACAGGTAGACGAACAGGACATTGTGCAGGTAGATAGACAAGACACAGTGTGCAGGTAGGTGAACAGGACATTGTGCAGGTAGATAGACAAGACACGGTGTACAGGTAGGTGAACAGGACATTGTGCAGGTAGATAGACAAGACACAGTGTGCAGGTAGGTGAACAGGACATTGTGCAGGTAGATAGACAAGACACAGTGTACAGGTAGACGAACAGGACATTGTGCAGGTAGATAGACAAGACACAGTGTACAGGTAGATGAACAGGACATTGTGCAGGTAGATACACAAGACACAGTGTACAGGTAGATGAACAGGACATTGTGCAGGTAGATAGACAAGACACAGTGTACAGGTAGATGAACAGGACATTGTGCAGGTAGATAGACAAAACACAGTGTACAGGTAGATGAACAGGACATTGTGCAGGTAGATAGACAAGACACAGTGTACAGGTAGACGAACAGGACATTGTGCAGGTAGATAGAAATGTATACTCACAGCACTTGCATGTTTGACAGCCTCTCTGGTCGATGTGGTACTCGTACGGGTACCCCCCACAGGCAGGGCACGCCCTTGGGGGACAGGCTGTGGAGGCGAGAATGATATCTGTAGCGTGGTAACGTCAATGTGGTGGCTGACAGGTAAGTCCTGATCCTCACTACTTTAGAAGTCAAGAATGTCGTTATTTTTTAAATACTGAAGGCCTGAAAACGTTTAGTCTGCTGGTCGTCATCTACTTTTCACGTATATATATCCCCCTGGATGCCACAGGGACATATATGTCCTTCCCCTTCAACCCTCAATTTCAAGTCAAATCAAAATCAAAATATCCCACGCACACAAATACACTTCACAGTTTCGAATTCTTCGGGAAATTTCCTGTTTCTTGATACCATCCACTATTATTTTAGACAAAGTTCAAGTGCTGAAAATGACCTTTCAAAATAGGCTTCATCGAAAATGTCGCCATTTTTGACACAGTACGAAATCGCGATTCACAGCGTTATTTGCTGTATGTTTTGAAATGTGAAAACCGGATAATTACTGGGAGTATTGAATTTCAAAAATAACATATTCATGATCACTCATATCAGTTTTACATGAAATCGCTAAGTAAAATTCTGAAACGTTGCCGATGAATCTAGAATCGGTTGGGATGTTTTCGAAAATGCACTTACACGAACGCCGTAGAGCGCTTTCCGCCATATTGGATAGTGTTTACAAAATCACGTTCGCATGAAGGCCGGTATTGAGACGCATATTACATCACGTATATTTCATATTCAGCTCGAAAAATACATCAATAAACTCCCCATACATTTTAGACTCAAACTGCAAGTGGTCTTTGTCACCAATGCCAACCGTCTAGATAAAATGAGACGAAACATATTTGGTGTGAAAACGAACGCTGTGCTCGAAAGACTTCACTGGTTCGAAATGTAAACAAAGACAAAAACCTTTTTTACACTGTGTAGCATTTTCTGAAATTTTCCAACATTCATCCGTCTATTCATTGCTTGCAATGGCTCAATACCTTTGGAATATGCATGGAAAGAGCATCGTAGCAAGAAATAGGAAATTATAAATAGATACAATGCAATGATTTGATAATTCATAAGAAATTGTAAAGTTTCCGTGCAGCGTGACGCCATGACTGACGGAAAATCACGCAGAACGACAACGGTAATTATCTGGATTTCTGTCTTTTTCTCTTACTTTTAGTGAAAACGATAAAACATATAACAATACACAGATAGTCAGAATCATTCTGATTACTTACATCTCATATTTATGGACAAACGATCCCTGAATCAATGGAAGGGTCCTCGCAAAATCCTGTGTACCCTTGTCAGCAAAGCCGCCATTTTGTAAGAAATCGGTCAGCGGTAGTGATGTCATACGTCAACATTGTTGTACATATTAGGCAATTTCTTTGAGGTGAAGGTCGGTTGAACAAGAGTAAACACAATCGCCCAATCCTTCCGATTACACTGTCAGTATTATGGTGTATATTTTGCGTATAGTTCAGATACTTTTCATGAAACTGACTTCAGTATCCACATTTAGCCTTGTTCAATATCATATCATACGTGCGTATAGGGTTTACGGTGTTTTATTCTTTGAAAAGTTTTGATTGTTTGAATCATATTTACATAGGAAATTGACATATTTAGTGCAATACACCATATTCTAAACCTTTACACAAGTGTTAGAAGATCAAACGTAGCCATAACTGCAATTGCGTTAGTTCCGATGATGTACAATATTCAATGCATTTGGACTAATATTGCAGTTTCACATGAACAGGTTAATGAACGGCGATTTAATTCAACCTTATAAGTAAAACTGATAATATTAATAAAAATGATTTATATATGGTATGAAATGTATATGCACACATATTTAAAGGAATTGTCTTGTTTTTTTGCGCATTTGTGTGTCGGTTTATAGAGAAAACAATGATGTAAATTGATTGGCCAGGTGCGCGTTTGTCGGAAACGTTTTATGATTCAATATCATTGTTTTCGATAATATAATCAATTCATATTCGATTTAAAAATATTGTGATGACAGGATATCAAACTCTAACTATATTTATACGAAAATTGTTTAAAAAATATATAAACCATGTCATGTCTTAATTTGGACAAATCTTACATCCATATTCTAATATATAGTACGTACTAGTTCCATATATAAAAGCTATCTTTTTGCATCTTTCATTGCATACTTATGAAGAGAAATAGCTACATAATCATAAACAAAGAAAATTCTTATCCTAAACAAAATATTCGGGTGTTGTGAAATGTTATTTTTCATTTACGTTAAATTGATGCCAAACAGGTGCGCGTGTTTCTCACAAAAAGATACACAGTCAAACTGTCTAATTGTTGATATATTCAGGACACTATTTAAATGGAAAAATCAGTCATTTTATGTTTTGTCTAAAGAGTCTTAAATTCTGACATAGAAGCCGAGACCTTTCACACAATTAAAGGAAATTAGGTGAGATATGTACTAAACAGCATACCAGTGTCGTCTTTTTCCGACGTCGCAAAATGCATAAAACAAGCAATGACGTCAACTAAAATGGTGTATTATTTTCTGCAATTTCATTACATTTGAAGATATGGCTAGTACTCTGGTAATAACGATGCAAAATTAGTCAAAATACATCTACACAAACAGGACAATATGGGAATCTAAGAACTAACTTATATATCGGATAGGGCCATCCAAATCGCTATTACGTGCTTTCACATGTAATACGTTGTCATTTTTCTTGTAAATTGTGAAACTACCAAACTGCATCCGCTCACATTGGGGTACTTTGAATTGGGATATTTTGTTTCACCATGAACATAAAATAACGAAAATATAGCGTCCGTATCCACAACAAATTCTCTCCAAGTGATCTGAGTTACATGGACATAGTGTTACGCATAACGGAGTTATGCCCCCTTATCATTATATGTGTATGACCTCTCTGTCGTCGTTTGACGTCATAGAAGAAAATCCATTTTTGACATTTATTGCGAGTCATTTTTAATGTTGAGCGTATACCGTTATGCACAAGCACATAAACCCAATTCATATACACTTATGTCGTTCAGATATCAAGCTGTATTTTCTTCGCTAACACTTTCCGTAAAGATGCCACATTAAAAAATTCGTAGCACAGTGCTTTTATCGGTGCGCGATAAAAAGCGGATAAAATTACTGTTTTTTAACGCATAAAAAAAATTGGACAACATTTGGAAGTGTCTATTTCTCAAACCGCCGAGGTAGTTGCACTTATATTTATACCAACGGATAGGAAATTTAATATTCTACATTTCTGTGTAATTTTATAGCCGTACGTAGATCCAGGACCACGCGAGCGCAATTCTCTCACAACGATCACTTTTCAAACCGTATGAAAATGTGCGCCTGAAAAAAAACTCGGCAGCCAGGGGGATATACTACGTTCTCATCGACAAAACAGCTATCTAATTACTTAATCAATAGACGGAGTTGCGTGGTGCCAGTGGTAGTAAGATACATAAATACCGAAGGGGGACAACTGCGTTTACTTACCGATACCCCATGTCCTGCACTTGCACGTGCTGCACCCGTCGTGGTCGGTGAGGAGACCATATTTGCAGAAGATGCTGCAGGTGACATCTGGGCACGTCGCCGGCTCTGCAGTGAATGAGTGAGTGAGTTTAGTTTTACGCCGCACTCAGCAATATTCCTTATTCGTTTTACTGTCTGCACTCATTGACATCGAGTACGGGTACAGCAGTGAAGTGTCATAAGCTGACCGTTTCAGCTGGTTCCCATAGTAGCATCCGGAACTGCTTATTTGTGACGTCATTCCGACTTTACGTCACAATATGATTTGAATGACGTCACCACTGCTGACGACAGAACAATACAATTGTGTGCGATATTTGTACGTGTCAATACGCAGTGAATTGTCTTGCAGTTTCCAGGAATTCATTGCCATTCGATAATGTTTTCAAACCAATCAGATTAAAGGACAGGGTGACTTTTGGTTTATAATTTAGTTTTACTCCGCACTCTGCAATATTCAGGTATATGGCGGCGGTCTGTAAATAATCGAGTCTGGACCAGACAATCCAGTGATCAACAGCATGAGCATTGATCTGTGCAATTGGGAACCGATGACATGTGTCAACCCAGTCAGCGAGCCTGACCACATGATCCCCTTAGTCGCCTCTTACGACAAGCATAGTCGCCTTTGTATGGGTTGCTGAAGACCTATTCTACCCCGGATCTTCACGGGTCGAGTGAGTGAGTGAGTGAGTGCACTGCGACCTGCGATTCAGTAAAGGCCCCCTCTGTTGGGGCGCAATGACGCGTGTGTTACCGCCATTTACAAGCAAACAGGATACGTTGGACTACTCATCAGGAAGCTCATCAATATCCTTATCAGCCACATGTTGTCATATCAAGAATTCTAAGATGCCTAGCGGCTAGAACAATCGAAAAAAGAATACATTATGAGACAATAAAGGTATAGTTTTTTGATGACGTAACAATTGAATGACGTTATCCCGTCACTGGCCATTCTAGTGTGCCCCCTCGTAATCGAATCATTTTACATTACGTCACAATGTAAGTGACGTAACGATGCATGTCAGTTGTCATCGCCTCGTACGGCCTCCTACAGTAAACTACTCCGTTGCATCCCGTGTCTTGGTTTGCAGTTGCTTCACGCAGCTACCATCACTGGTGGAAACATTACGTTTATGTTTTACGACGGTTAAAATGTGTCAATTCGACTCACAAGTTTTCAGCGACACGGTAACGTTCGCAATGTTTACATTCCCACAATGCAATTGTGGAATGTCGCTTGACTACTCAGCTTCATCTTGATGTACTGATCTAAACTTACGTTGGTAGTAGAAATGCGACTTTCATATTGCCCCATATGGTTTACGTTAATGACAGATGTAATTATAATAATTCAGAGAAGATATTTAATCCGAACGTAAACCGTCATCAAACTGTTATCATTTGTTTTTTTCTGGTAACGTTCGTCTTAACGTAGGGGGGCAGACACATCAATAGAACAGCGCACCAGTTAGCCCTGTGCGAGGATTCTTAATTTTGGTCACCGACACCGTCATTTGTTTTCTGCCTTAGATTAATCGTAATTATCCTTAGAAAGTATTAAATTTAGCATCTTAGAAAAGATGTAAAGTTCGCTCTACCCCAATGTGTTTTGTAATAAAGTATAGTTTTGCCCTGAACTATTATAACATCAAAGCACTCGGACTACCGTCCTCGTGCTTTAATTATAATAGTTCAGGGCAAAACTATACTTTATTACAAAACAAATTGGGGTAGAGCGAACTTTATTTCCTAAACACACGGAACCTATAGGTTCCTGGAACTACTCAGCTCAGCACTGCGATTTGCGGCGCCTTTGACGACAGGGTCACCTCATTCCCACCTGCTGAACTACCATCATCAGCAGATCCGTGAAGATCCTGGTTGGAATGAATCTTCAGTAACCCATGCTTGTCGTAAGAAGCGAGTAACGGGATCGGGTGGTCAGGCTCGCTGACTTGGTTGACACATGTCATCGTTTCCCCAGTTTGCATAGATCGATGCTCATACTATTGATCACTGAATTGTCTGGTTCAGAATCGATTATTTATAGCTGAAATATTGCTGAGTGCGGCGTTAAACAACAAGTACCATCATCAGCACTGCCACACCTGTATTCACTCAGGGAAGATTGATACAAAGGTGAGCACAATATCACGTCACTGACCTAGACATTGGCACAACTCGCAGCCATCCTTGTTGGTCACGAAACCATCGGGGCAGTCAAGGTCACAGAAGTCACGTGGGCAGAAGATGGGGGCTGCAAGTTAAGACAAAGATCTGGAAATGCGTTTAAATTAATGCAATATTTACAAATTTGTGACAGGTTTTACGCCGCTTTAAGCACTATCCCCGCAGTATTACGGTAGAGGACACAGGAAATGAGCTTCTTACAGGACTCGAACCCGAGTTTGGGGAATGACGAGCGAACACTTAACCACAGGGCGACTGGGATGTTTAAGGCACCGTGATTAAGGTAAACTGGCGTACAAAAGAAGTGAAAACCCGATGCTTTGGTAAAATGTTTTCCTAAAAACAGCGTAATATTTAGAAAAGTGTTTTGATTGTGACTCACAAGTCACAAACATTGTGTACGTGTTGCAATAACACCATAGATATCGTACCCAATTGGAACATTGCTAGCAAAATATTTACGTTTTTATAGTCTCAAAACACCAGGTGTGTACTTTCTTTTGTACATCAGTATAGCATGTGAATGTATTTACTGGGAAAATGTCCAGTAACTGCACAGATACACGGCTGCAACTGTGACTATAATTATTAGTATACTTCTGTCGAGAACATACGGGTGATTCATGGGAATCACTGACATGACTATAGAAGCGTCTTCTCAGACTTCAATACATCTATATTCAGCAATTTTTTACAAGAAATGTTGTTCCAGAAAAACAACTATAATTTGTTACTCGTATTTACTAAAAATATATATTTCCTAGCTGACAAAAACAGATTATTTTGAGGAATTTCCCCCCTCTTTTAAAGAAAACTCGCGTGTTACCAGTCAACATATGTCTACCCACAGCAGGACATCACCACCACCTCAGTGCCGGTACCATTCCCCACCCACGCCAACCCCTCCCCAACCCCGCTCCTCGCACCCTCTGGCTATATACCACCGCCGACCCAACTCCCCACCCTAACATCACAACAAACAGCCCACCCATCCGGCACCACACCTCCATCACCGCGACCATTCCCCACTACCACTCTCCACAAAACTACATCAAACCTACTCCTGTAAGCGCATTCACAGACAGGGCAACGGTCACTTCCGTTCTTGAAGCCATATTCACAGTACAACTCGCAGCTGACCACTGGGCATCCGGCCGGCCGGACATAATCTGAAACACCAGCCATCCATCATAAAAGCCTGACGTTAGATAAGGTGCCAAACAAATCGTTCAAGTGATGTTACAGCATGGAACTTTACATGAACATTCCTGTAGGTGTTTTCCGAGGAAAGAAAAAATCCATCTGAAAATGCAGGTGCCATTTTTTAAGATGTCCATGTTTTGTTATAAAAATACTATTTGTGTTTCAGTGTTTTCTTCTGCTAACGTAGGTGCTGAAATCTCTGTCATAATACCTACTTCCGACACACGTGCAAGTCGGGCATCCGTTTTCGTCATTGACGTAGCCCCTGTCGCACTTGTTGCTGCATAAACGCCGAGGACATGAAGCTGAAAGAAAAGAAATGATTCATTGAAGGTTTATTAAAGACATGCCACCCCCATTTACCACCATGTACCTGATACACAAACCACCATGTACCCGACACACACACCGCCGCGTACCCAAGACACCACCATGTACCCGAGACATCTCCACAACTGCGATTCAAGGCCACCATCTCGATATAACGCCAGGTGTTTTGCTGACATTATCCCAGCGGACCATTTACTCTTCAGCGTCAACACTCAGTCATTACAACACAGCCTCCCCTTGTACAAGTCCACCTTGACATTTAGGCTAGGAGACGGTTGTGTTCGCATAGACGTCAATATCTGTTAGCATTCAATTACGATACAGGTCTAATTGGGTGTAAAAAGTTTGAAACTAAACCAAATGACTTGCAATGACCTTGGCTTTTAAAAAGGTTCCCTCCTGAATGAGTTGCAGTTCGCAAGAAGTGCGTACTGTTCCCCGTTTAAAGTGTGGGTTATTTGGGGTCGCACATGTACAGGCTGTTAAATACTGGAAAGTAAATGCTCTTTAAACTTGCACAAAGACGGTTTTGTTGAACGCTATCCCTCTCCATCCATTCATACAGTTACTATATCCGCCCAATTGAATGTGTTTCGTCAGGTAATCGAGTTTCCCCAAAGCGTTGTTGATTTTTATTTAAAATGGCGCGTTACGACTCCGGAAGCATCACTACAAAATAAGTAATGTGACAGTGATAATTTGATTCAGTAATTTCTAAATTATTGTAACAGATTTTTAATTTACTGAAATTAATTATTTTTGGATATGTCATGAATTAGCTCAATGAAGCTTATACAGGTTGTGAGAGGCACGAAGTCAGGACATTTGGCTCAATATCGTTGGGTTCTTCTTAATTAGTGATGTGTGTATGCGCGCTTGCGCGTGGGCATGAATGTGTGTGCGTGTGTGTTTGTGACTGCTTGTAGGTGTCCAGACTAATACTAATGGCCCGCTGAGATACCATGTCGCCGTTAAGATGAATACCTCACTTAGACACCCAGACTGGTCCTATTTTAGCCGGCTTAAGTGGCGATATACAGGTTTGTATAGCAAGGTCTAATATAGTCTTTTTATGTATATTCAAACAACACAACGTGCACCTATAGGATACATCTTTAGTGTTACATATCACTGTGAGTGTATTTTACATCAATCCGTGAAGATCCATGTTAAAATTGGTCTTAAGCAACCTATGCTTGTTGCAAGAGGCGACTAACGGGATCGGGTGGTCAGGCTCCTGACTTGATTCACACGTCATCGTATCCCAGTTGCGCAGATCGATGCTCAAGATGTTGATCACTGGATTGTCTGGTCCAGGCATGATTTGTTACAGACCGCCGTCATATAGCTGGAATATTGCTGAATGTGGCGTTAAACAACTGGCAAATAAACAGAACAAGCATTTTACATAGCAACACGTTGTTTCAGACGTAAAGCTGTTCACACCAACATCGCCATTACATAGGTGAACTGACTACGATAAAGGTGTTCCTTGGTAGGTCCTCGAGAAAAGCGGGAAATATCACATTGTAACTACAGCAAGTCAATATTGATAGGGAGCTTGTAACACTGAAGGTACGTATTGACACAGCAACATCTCCTGGCAGTGTCAACACCTGGATGAAGACACGTGGTATAACCACCATTGGGTATCATGTATGTATACACCCAAATTTCCAGTACTCAACCACTGGCTGTGTGTCAATACGTCTCCACGTTTACACACGGCTTGAAACACTCACAAATAGATAGATAGATAGATAGATAGATAGATAGATAGTAAATACATTCTATATCCGTTCTGCCTCTGACATTCCGCTATATATGTATAGATACAGTCCAACAATAGATAGTAGAAGTATTTCTTACACACCCGTGGGTGAGAAACCCATGTGAGAAAACTGGTATCACACATATGTGTGAGATCGATTTCTAATCCCGTGATTGGCTACTCCATGGTGATGACCTAGGGTCAGGTTATGACGGACTACTTTCCTGATTAAAATTCATTGATAAGTTACTCGTGCTTCAATCGAACAGAAACCTGTTACTCTTGCCAAAAATACCCCTTTACACCTACCTGTTATTTTCGCGATTGCAACATAAACAGGTATTTATACAATGAGTCACAAGTAGAATAAATATAACACGAATCTATTTATTTTCTAATTCCTTTTATTAAAACTTTTGATTCCTAGTCATGAACTCAAAATGGCTCCAACAATCAGAGATACCGGTGTAAACAATTATGTGAAAATCACCGTTAGAGATAAAGCCCTTGATTCCCTTCGAATATTCAAAATGTACAACACTGGTACTTTTACTGGAGAGATGCGACAAGTGTGATGTGTCGTCTTGCAAAAATACCTGACACGATAACGTCAGTGCCTGTCGATTGTGAGATCGTTTTGCCTCGTTGTTTCTTTGGTGCATTGATGAAGATGACATTTTTCACTGATACACATGATGAAGACCCACTTCCAGCTCCGAGATACTATGTGATTCCAATGTTATCGTGAAATTCACTCATGACAATCAGAACCAAAACACACTCGTTGAAACAATGTACGACATGGTACGTTTTGCAAGGCTTCCTGAGTGCAAATGGCGGCACCCGTCCTTTCTATTCAATCGAACATGTATAGGAACGGTTGATCTACACATAAGTCTTTTCTCAAGATATTCCTCCGACGCATGATAATGAAAAGTTTATGTCTTGATAACTTACAGGATGTATTCAACTCACATTTCATACTGAAAACTCCGTAAATTCCATTACATTCCAAGTGGCAGTTTCTGGCTCGGGAAAACGAGAAGGATGTGGCGAAGAAGAGTAGTCCCCCATTGATAGTGAACGTAACCTCAGCAATGTCACATTCAAGCACACTGGGTGCACCTAATTACACACTCAAAAGATGGGAGAACATGGAACGTAAACTGGTACACAAGTACAGATCCCCAATGTGTAAAGAGATATCCAAAACAATCTTTCGATGACGACAACCACCAAGCGATAACGATGACGTCACTCGCTCAAATATTTTACCCTTGCAAGAATTAAAATCATCCACATTTGCATGGTAACATCATCGTTTGAGAGGGTTTAATTCATTTTCTGTGATCTTATCTAGTTATCATTATCACCATTGCCTTGATGATGCGAAGAGGTGGCAGAAACCTTTTTGTGGAGGGTCACCATGGGGATGAGTAGTGATTAGAAAGCCAAGTGACGTCACTCATTCATAAAGGTTGTGTTTAGGAAATAAAGTTCGCTCTACCCCAATGTGTTTTGTAATAAAGTATAGTTTTGCCCTGAACTATTATAATTAAAGCACGAGGACGGTAGTATAAAAAACAAATGATAAGTTTGATGACGGTTTACGTTCAGATTAAATATCTTCTCTGAATTATTTTAATTACATCTGTCATTAACGTAAACCATATGGGGCAATATGAACGTCGCATTTCTACTACCAACGTAAGTTTAGATCAGTACATCCAGATGAAGCAGAGCAGTCAAGCAACATTCCACGATTGCATTGTGGGAATGTAAACATTGCGAACGTTACCGTGTCGCTGAAAACTTGTGAGTCGAACTGAGACATTTTAACCGTCGTAAAACATAAACGTAATGTTTCCACCAGTGATGGTAGCTGCGTGAAGCAACTGCAAACCAAGAAACGGGATGCAACGGAGTAGTTTACTGTAGGAGGCCGTACGAGGCGATGACAACTGACATGCATCGTGACGTCCCTTACATTGTGACGTAATGTAAAATAATTCGATTACGAGGGGGCACACTAGAATGGCGCAGTGACGGGATAACGTCATTCAATTGTTACGTCATCAAAAAACTATACCTTTATTGTCTCATAATGTATTCTTTTTTCGATTGTTCTAGCCGCTAGGCATCTTAGAATGTGTATTATTGCGCACCTACGATGTGAAAACATGAAATTTGAATCTATTCGACCATAAAATGGTGCGATTTTATGGTGTGTAAGAAACAGACTACTGTACTCGTGTCTGTCAGATACCATTCATCTTACAACTCGTTGTTTCGAAACGTATTTAACGAGCGAAAGCGAGTTAAATGCGTTTTGAAACAACTCGTTGTAAGATAAATGATATCTGACAGACACTCGTTTAGTAATCTCTATATCCTACACGTTGTATCTCCATGAATACTGTACAAATGTAGATGGTATAAGTCATTTTTTTCCGAATGGTGTTGTAAATCTGTGAATAGAGTCTAAAACTGGATACTATGAGGTTGTTGACAGGTTGTTGTATATTTCTGAATATTGTCCAATACTGGATTGTAAAAAGATGGGCTGTTTTTATCTCCTACACATCGTACATCTACGAATACTGCCCAGTACTGAATGGAGTATAAAGTGTAAAACTAGGGTGATACTATAGGGTTGTAGACGCGTTGTTGTATATTAATGAATGGTGTCCTGTACTAGATGCTCCGTTCTATTATCCCCAACAAGCCACTGTATCAACGATTAAGTTACATTTGAGAAGTCATTCTATTGTTTAGCACTCAATTATTTATAAGGAAAGGGCAGCTGTTGTTTCAATGCACGTGTAACGTTCTGTGTTCACGTTAAGCAGGTACGGCCCACGGCCCAGGTACGGATGCACTTAGAGAGAGTCCGCTTCTAACAAGTTCTTAATTTGACGTATAGACTTTTTCGGATATTTTTCGAATTTTTGCATTAGGATATAGGAAATGTGTCAAGATCAAGCAATGTATAATATAATTGAAGATGGGGAATGCCTCCGTAACTTTCCATTCCTGAAAAATAATTGACATCGGCATGGCGGGGCCTCGCTTCCAATATTTTTAAGGAATGGAGAGTTACTCGGCCATTCCCCTCTACGCACTCTTCTGTACCGGATACAAGGTCTTTCTGCATCAGATGGTACTCAATGTTCATTAGCATCAGCTTCAGAGATGCAAATGTACAAGCCTCATGTTTTATTTTGTTTTATCAACCTTATCAACTTCGAACTTGTCGAACTATCACATCATATATATTATTTAATATATGGGTAATGTTGTTTACATTATTATATAGTCTGCCATTGTTTTTGCACAGAAAGCTTCAATCGAATTAAAAGAGGACAGGTTGATATTGCCTTGAGTGAGTGAGTGAGCGAGTGAGTGAGTATGTTTTTATGTTTTTTACGCCACTGTTACCAATATACTAGCAACATGACCCGGCGGACACAAGAAATGGGTTCACACGTTGTACCCATATGGGGAATCGAACCCGGGCCTACGGCGTGACAGGCGAACGCTTTAACCACTAGGCTACACCACCGTCCCCGATATTGCCTTGAACTGATGCAACCTGTCGTTAGTACTGTAATTTAAAAACAACAACCTTATTTTCAAATTCAAAACATTGTTAGAAAAATAAATGATAATGATACGGGACAAGTATAACAAAAATCAAGTTTTTTCTATAGATTTGTACGTAAATAAAAAAGAAACTATATGAAAACAGTGTCTACCAGAACAATATTAATAAAAAAATACTGAAAAACCAGACCCGCTATCATGACGCCTTGTCTGGGTATGACGTCATTACAGCGTACGCAAATGGTGTACACGTTATATCTAAATGCTATAAAACTTGCTTTGTAAAATTGTAAAATGCATTGATCAGTTTTTAGATCTCATCTATTGACATAAATAATGAAATCAGGTTCGCCCCTGTCGAGTCGTAATGAACAATCCCGTTGAATTAAGCGACTGAAAGAAAAATGCATCTCATATCTCCCGTGTTAATATTTGTACATGGGAGTCTACCCACGTGTTGGGACACTCCACACCGTACACTATTTTCCATGGTACATCGAGCTAATATGGACAAGCCAGTTTCTTCGCACTCTGTAAACAAGGCAATAAAACACTTAAAAAGGGGACTTTTTCCGTGTTGATAGAATAATCATCTCCGAAAAAACATAACCTGCGTCATCGTCCGTGTATGTGTGTAACTATTCATTCTACTGTGAGTAGATGGAGAGTTGACGATAGGTCGAGGGATTTGGTGAGGAGGCTATATGTTTAGTTGATTAAAAAAATAAGCCTAAATGTTTTGGTTGTGTTTAAAAAGCATCAAGTTCTTTTTCAAGTGAGTGAGTGAGTGAGTTTAGTTTTACGCCGCACTCAGCAATATTCCAGCTATATGGCGGTGGTCTGTAAATAATCGAGTCTGGACCAGACAATCCAGTGATCAACAGCATGAGCAAGTTATTTTTCAAAGACAGCATAGCAGCTTTTTCAACAGTCTGAACATCCTTGTGTTTTTCCAGCAGTTTATTGTTTTCTGTAAAATGGAAGTGTGAACGTTTTTCTGATTTAAGGTTACGATATATTCAGAAATATTTTACTGATTTTGATCTAAATGCCAATTTTATTAACATTATGAAAACACATAATGATTGTATCATAAAAGATGTTAGTGTGTTTCCGTATCATGTACTTCAGCGCAATAGAAATGTTCCTCTTACACAGCATGTGCACTAAACTATCTATACCATATGCAAATGACTGTATGATGGGCCTGTGGCCTTTTACTGAATAAACTTGTCTGTCTGTCTGTCTGTCTGTAAAATGGAAGCTAAAAGCAGAGGGACCCGTTCCAGAAAGCGACCTTAGCGCTAACATCCTCATAGGAGTCAATATATATTAGCCCCTATATCGATTTGTGGAATGGCGCTCAGCTTCGTGGGCAGATGTATTCTAGTGATATATTTTGATTGAGTCGTTATGGTAACTGGTTACGTCACAAAGGTTTGTGGTGTAACTTCAGTGTAGCTTTTAGATTATGGCATCTACAGCAATGCGGGATAAATTTAATTAATACATTGGACTAGAGTTGTAAGTAAGACAAGCCACGCCATAGGTCAGCAGAGGGGTCACTTCCCAATCGAAAGTCTGGTGACCAGTTGGTTAAGGGTTATATTCTAACGAAATGATTTATATAATCAGCTGGATAATCGACAAGGAGGTGGGGATAGACAAACAACTCACGCATGAAGCAGGAGCACGTTGCACAGCCGTCACCGTTGTAGACGCGACCCGAGGAACACCAGTTCCTGCATACTGGCCCACAACCTGAAACACAGGGAGGTCTGCTGAAACCTCGGTCTCAGATCAACCATCACACTCTGAAGTAACCCGACCTGAATATGGACATTACTTAATTAAAAAGACCCACACACTCGACCCTTAGTGTCACCTTGAAGTGTTCACAGATAACCACTGTCTCTGGGAGGCCAACCCCACCCCTATTCCGACCAACGCCTATACCCTTAATTTTTCTGTCGCCCCCTTAGGGTCATACAACTCCTTTTACACACTAAGATGTTACTTTCTTCCTGGCGTCTTATATTGACATCTATCCCCAAAGGTTTTCATTGACATCCGTCACACTAATACACCCACACAATTGAACAGAGTCAACTTGAGGTTAACACTGACGTCCTTTTGCATGGTAGATGCCAACAACTTACTTGGATCAAACTGAAATTTCTACAAACATCATTCCCGCTGATCGATCCCCACAATTTACTATTGTCACACTGAGTTTTTCCACTATAATCCCTCCCTTTAATACATGCTCACATGTTATTGGTGCATCCTCACTAGTACAGGGATTTTCTCTGTGGATTCTGTTAGATCCTCCCAACTTACGTTTGTCGTACTCTGTTCGACACTGGCAGGTGACACACCCATTCCGGGCGTATCTCCCGAAGGGGCAGTAGTTCTCACACCTGATGACGCTACAGGAGGAGTTGGAGCTCACCACGGTGTCTGTAACAGCATCAACGTCATGAATAAATACTAACACTTTTCACAGTTATACCTGTGGGATCTTACACACACTTCAGTCTAAAAAGTATTTCACATAAGAACGAAATGACGCAAGTGTAATATTTTATTTATTAGCATAGATTTCATTTGAAGAAAGATAACAATGCTATATTTGGCAATACACTTTCTCAGTTAAGTACAAACTACTTTCTTCAGGTAAGTCCCTCTAGAGATTCGAACCCAGACTCTCAATGTGAGGCACAATATCGCCCACGCACAAAGGTAGAGGCCTGATCCACACTAGCACCACAGCTTCCACAACAATGGAAGTCCGACACCTGGTAGTCTGACCGAAAAAACTCCTGCAAATATTTATTTGTATTCAACAGCCAGTAGCATAAAAACAATTTTAGACACCATGGTAAGTTATACTTTTTGAAATAAATTCCCACGCTTAGACCATGCTCAATTTGAGAATCCCACCGACATTTCCAACAAGAGAGAATCCCACCGACATTTCCAACAAGAGAGAATCCCACAGACATTTCCAACAAGAGAGAATCCCACCGACATTTCCAACAAGAGAGAATCCCACAGACATTTCCAACAAGAGAGAAAAAAAGGATTTGTTAAGACCACATGTGGTCTGACGGAGAGACCACAGGACACGCACTTGTCTCCAGACGGGAATACAAGTATAACATCTGGTCTGACGGAGAGACCACAGGACACGCACTTGTCTCCAGACGGGAATACAAGTATAACATCTGGTCTGACGGAGAGACCACAGGACACGCACTTGTCTCCAGACGGGAATACAAGTATAACATCTGGTCTGACGGAGAGACTACAGGACACGCACTTGTCTCCAGACGGGAATACAAGTATAACATCTGGTCTGACGGAGAGACTACAGGACGCACTTGTCTCCAGACGGGGATACAAGTATAACATCTGGTCTGACGGAGAGACCACAGGACACGCACTTGTCTCCAGACGGGAATACAAGTATAACATCTGGTCTGACGGAGAGACTACAGGACACGCACTTGTCTCCAGACGGGAATACAAGTATAACATCTGGTCTGACGGAGAGACCACAGGACACGCACTTGTCTCCAGACGGGAATACAAGTATAACATCTGGTCTGACGGAGAGACTACAGGACACGCACTTGTCCAGACGGGAATACAAGTATAACATCTGGTCTGACGGAGAGACTACAGGACACGCACTTGTCTCCAGACGGGAATACAAGTATAACATCTGGTCTGACGGAGAGACTACAGGACACGCACTCCAGACGGGGATACAAGTATAACATCTGGTCTGACGGAGAGACTACAGGACACGCACTTGTCCAGACGGGGATACAAGTATAACATCTGGTCTGACGGAGAGACCACAGGACACACTTGTCTCCAGACGGGGATACAAGTATAACATCTGGTCTGACGGAGACCACAGGACAGACAGGGATACTTGTCTCCAGACGGGGATACAAGTATAACATCTGGTCTGACGGAGAGACTACAGGACACACAGCACGGGGATACAAGTATAACATCCAGACGGGGATACAAGTATAACATCTGGTCTGACGGAGAGACCACAGGACACGCACTTGTCTCCAGACGGGAATACAAGTATAACATCTGGTCTGACGGAGAGACTACAGGACACGCACTTGCACTCCAGACGGGAATACAAGTATAACATCTGGTCTGACGGAGAGACTACAGGACACGCACTCCAGACGGGGATACAAGTATAACATCTGGTCTGACGGAGAGACCACAGGACACGCACTTGTCTCCAGACGGGAATACAAGTATAACATCTGGTCTGACGGAGAGACTACAGGACACGCACTCCAGACGGGAATACAAGTATAACATCTGGTCTGACGGAGAGACTACAGGACACGCACTGTCAGACGGGGATATACAAGTATAACATCTGGTCTGACGGAGAGACTGACACAGGACACGCACTTGTCTCCAGACGGGAATACAAGTATAACATCTGGTCTGACGGAGAGACTACAGGACACGCACTCCAGACGGGAATACAAGTATAACATCTGGTCTGACGGAGAGACTACAGGACACGCACTCCAGACGGGGATACAAGTATAACATCTGGTCTGACGGAGAGACTACAGGACACGCACTCCAGACGGGAATACAAGTATAACATCTGGTCTGACGGAGAGACTACAGGACACTTGCACTCCAGACGGGGATACAAGTATAACATCTGGTCTGACGGAGAGACTACAGGACACGCACTCCAGACGGGGATACAAGTATAACATCTGGTCTGACGGAGAGACTACAGGACACGCACTCCAGACGGGGATACAAGTATAACATCTGGTCTGACGGAGAGACTACAGGACACGCACTCCAGACGGGGATACAAGTATAACATCTGGTCTGACGGAGAGACTACAGGACACGCACTCCAGACGGGGATACAAGTATAACATCTGGTCTGACGGAGAGACTACAGGACATGCACTCCAGACGGGGATACAAGTATAACATCTGGTCTGACGGAGAGACTACAGGACACGCACTCCAGACGGGGATACAAGTATAACATCTGGTCTGACGGAGAGACTACAGGACGCACTCCAGACGGGGATACAAGTATAACATCTGGTCTGACGGAGAGACTACAGGACACGCACTCCAGACGGGAATACAAGTATAACATCTGGTCTGACGGAGAGACTACAGGACACGCACTCCAGACGGGAATACAAGTATAACATCTGGTCTGACGGAGAGACTACAGGACACGCACTCCAGACGGGGATACAAGTATAACATCTGGTCTGACGGAGAGACTACAGGACACGCACTCCAGACGGGGATACAAGTATAACATCTGGTCTGACGGAGAGACTACAGGACACGCACTCCAGACGGGAATACAAGTATAACATCTGGTCTGACGGGGGGGAGAGACTACAGGACACGCACTCCAGACGGGAATACAAGTATAACATCTGGTCTGACGGAGAGACTACAGGACACGCACTCCAGACGGGAATACAAGTATAACATCTGGTCTGACGGAGAGACTACAGGACACGCACTCCAGACGGGGATACAAGTATAACATCTGGTCTGACGGAGAGACTACAGGACACGCACTCCAGACGGGAATACAAGTATAACATCTGGTCTGACGGAGAGACTACAGGACACATCAGACAGGGAATACAAGTATAACATCTGGTCTGACGGAGAGACTACAGGACACGCACTCCAGACGGGGATACAAGTATAACATCTGGTCTGACGGAGAGACTACAGGACACGCACTCCAGACGGGGATACAAGTATAACATCTGGTCTGACGGAGAGACTACAGGACACGCACTTGTCTCCAGACGGGAATACAAGTATAACATCTGGTCTGACGGAGAGACTACAGGACACGCACTTGTACAGGACACGCACTCCAGACGGGAATACAAGTATAACATCTGGTCTGACGGAGAGACTACAGGACACGCACTCCAGACGGGGATACAAGTATAACATCTGGTCTGACGGAGAGACTACAGGACACGCACTCCAGACGGGGATACAAGTATAACATCTGGTCTGACGGAGAGACCACAGGACACGCACTTGTCTCCAGACGGGAATACAAGTATAACATCTGGTCTGACGGAGAGACTACAGGACACGCACTCCAGACGGGGATACAAATATAACACTGCAGGGTGCGACACACCGCCCTCACTAACACATCTTCTACTGACTGTATACATTAGGTTTCAGTAAGTAGCAGTGAATCTTCCACCTACTGTATGGCGGGGGTTCATAAGGACGGCAGTCACACACGGAGCATCCGTACTCGTCCAGTCTGTGGCCGTAGGGGCAGAAGTCGCAGTAGGAGATGTCGGGGCAGTCTGGGGAAGAAACGTTGAGTGAGTGAGTGGTTGAGTGAGTGGTTGATTGAGTGTTTGAGTGATTGAGTGATTGAGTGTTTGAGTGATTGAGTGATTGAGTGTTTGAGTGTTTGAGTGATTGAGTGATTGAGTGGTTGATTGAGTGGTTGATTTAGTGTTTGAGTGATTGAGTGAGCAAATGGTTGAATGAGTACTTGAGCGGATAGTTGAGTGAGGTTTTGCGTGGGTGAGTGAGTGAGTGAGTGAGAGCGTGACTGAATGAATAAGAGTGTGGCTGGGTTAGTGAGTGAGAGAGTGGCTGAGTTAGTGGTTGAGTGAGTGAGTGAGCGGGTGCGTGAGCGAGTGGTTGAGCGAGTGGTTGAGTGAGCGGCTGAGCGAGTGGTTGCGTGAGTAAGTGGTTGGGTGTGTGAGTGAGTGAGTGCGAGAGTGACTGAGATAGTGGTTGAGTGAGTGAGTGTGCGTGTGCGTGAGTGAGTGGTTGAGGAGGTAGTTGAGTGAGTCGTTGAGTGAGTGAGTGGTTGGATGTGTGAGTGAGAAAGGAGCTAAATGAAGGAGTGAGTGTCTGGGTAAATGAGTGAGTGAAGAACCACCCAGTACCTTAAAGAAAAATCACAATTAAACTGTTCCCTTACAGTGTGGTACATGTATTCCCTTACCGTCGTTCAAACAATCACATCCTTGGCAGCCTTGTGTGTCGTTCCTGTAGCCGTCGGGACAATCTTTAGAACACAATACCCGTGGACACGCGACTGGGGAGGCAGCTGTAAACGAATTGTAAATGTTGTGATCTTGGCGAGATTGAAGATGAATTTTACTTTCTGGTGAAATGTAACCTCTATACAGATATCCGTGATGATATGACTAAGAAGTTTTACAATAATTCACCGTCATCATTATCTCCCTCAGACCTTTCCATTGTTATAATGCAAGCTAATATCAACTGTAACGCCTTAGCAGTAGGTGTTTTCTATATGTATAAACCTCGTCTTAAACACCGTTCATAACATCATTCAATTAAGGTAATAACAATGATATCATCTATAAAGCGTTTTATCCATCCACAAGTTGTCCTGTACAATTGTTTTGTATTTCATGTATCATAATCCTGGTAACATTGCTAGAGTATTTTATGTGCTTTACATTTTATATATTTTTAATGCAATTTAACTGTACAATCGTGTCTCGTACGCCTGATATTTTCTTCAACTAGTCGACGAAATGTGTATGTATATCTGGAAAATATGTGACACGTTAATAAACTAATTTTCTTGTCTTTATGTTCCCTTTCTGTAGATAAGTAGCTTACACATTATTTCATGGCGTAATAAGGCAATCGACTAAAGGGGCGATGGTGTAGCCTAGTGGTTAAAGCGTTCGCTTGTCACGCTGAAGACCCGGGTTCGATTCCCCACATGGGCGCGTGAAGCTCTGGTGCCTCCTCTTCTCCCCCGCGCGCGCGGTGATATTGCCGGAATATTACTAAAAGCGGCGTAAAACCATAGTCACTCACTCAGCTAAAACCCTCAAAATCGATCTCTTCACAGGACCGTTTGTTTACTGTTTAATTATACACCAACCGTTGTTA